GACTTCACATTCCAGGATGTCTGGTTTGAGGTCAGTGACCACCCCATTGTGGTTATCAGGGATGTTAGGCTCTTTCTTGTATAGTTCTTCTGTGTAATCTTGCCACCTCTTCTTAATCTCTTCTGCCTCTGTTAGGTCCCTGCCATTTTGGTCCTTTATCATGCCCATCTTTGCATGAAATGTTCCCTTCATATCTCCAATTTTCTTGAAGGGATCTCTGGTCCTCCCTAGCTGGAGACTTTTCTGTTGTCTTTGGATCATGGGTCTCACTTCATCAATGATGAGCTCAGAAGTTGCTTGCTCAGAAGACTGCCACAGGAGAAAGCGCCATCCCACTCAAGTGCTGTGAAACAGTCCAGAGGCACATGGTGGATAGATCAGAGATTGGTTGCTCTGCCATAGCAAACCTTGCCATTACTGCCTTTGCCCTCTCCACAGCAGATAGCACTCTCCAACACATTCTTTATGAGGTGGCACTTGTGGTCACTGAGCTGCTCTCTTTCAGAGTGCAGTGATGAATCTTCTGCAGCACTGCTGGAACTTAGGTGATGCCTTACTGTGCCACAGTTCTTTCCCAAAACAGACATGATGTTGAGAATGCTCTTCTATGGAGTCATGATTCTCAATGAGGCATTGTAGAATTGCATAGATTGTGACTTTGAGTGTACCATTGTCAACCATACTGAAATCTGAGTGGTATAACTGCAATGAAGACTGCAGGATAGCTCAAGGAAGAATACACAAGCATTAGAGGAAGGCTGGAGGAGGGGCAACAGAGAGCTAAGTGAGGAAAAAGAAAGAAAAGGGCACAGTACCCAATACAGAAATGGCACATATGACACGAGCCAACCCCTTATCATGAATGTGCCTTTTCTCCTCAGGTTTTTAACTACTCTATGGAGACAGGCAATCCTACACCTCATCCATATCTGTGCTAGTCTCATTGCTCTTTTTTCTCTTTTAATGTGAAATGGCCTTGTCATCTCGTAAGCTTTCTGTTGTAATTTTATTGTGCAGTCCTTGAGAGAAATGTCCTTCAGACTGAAGTATTCCTTACCTTACAAAATGCTAGGAACAATGGGGCATCAGTTTCAGGACTATATTACTGAAATGTGAGTAGCAGAGAGCGGAGAGGAGAATGAGAAAAGAGCAAGAGTTGCAGAGTTGGTGGATTGGGGGAAAGAGAGGAAATGAAAGATTACTGTGCCAAGTGATTCAACATTAGAGCCTTCATGTGAGCAGGCTTGACATTTTCATACAGAGTAGCAGCCTCAGTGGGGATTTTATGTGTCCACAACTCTGACTGTTTAAGAGCAAGGAAACTTTAGGGGTGCATGATGAGTTGGAGGTCTAACAAGGAGGGCTTGAATACACACTAAATGCTGAGAATGAGGAAAGGCTTATGGGGACTGAAATTGTTCTGCATATGTAAAAGGATGGTAGACAGCTAATGTTGGTTGACCTGGCAACCTGGCAGTCCAGGCTGCTGATAACATTGTAACACACTGGTCCACCATCCCATTCCAGAGGCTCTTTCTTTTCAAAAATCCTCTCTGAAGCTTCCAGATTTTCTCTCAGAGCAGTTGCCAAAGCTTCTCCTGGGCCATAATGTCTTGTCGCTCACACAGTCAGGAGATATTTGCTTGCCCTTGGTTGACTCTCCTGTTCACCCAATCCTAGAAAAATTTCACAGATCCACTCTGTCATTTCTTTTGTGTGTATCAAGTCTCTAGCTAGCTGGACAAAATCAGTTTTGTGCTTGTTCCTCAATCATGTCACTCTGTTTGTCAGAGGTTCCTGCAGTTTCCTCCTCTGATGCCCCCTGAATTCAAATGTCTATTTCCTCCCACTTACACTACTTAAATTAGAACATCTCTGGCCTCCTGCAGAGGAAATTAGTCTTCCCTGAAGGGAAAGTTAGTATGCACAATCTACAATTCTGTTTTTGACTGTAATGACAGCCTATGGCTAGTACAATCCAGAGTTCATAACCCAAGAACAAGTCATTGATCTTTTTGTGCATTTCCTTGTTGATCTTGTGTCTGTTCTGTTGATATATGGTGGAATGATCCAGCTGTTTAAGAGATTTTTGGGTTCTGTATCTATTAGACACTATATCAGACATTATTGGACAAATAACTTCAGGCTCAGAATTAGCGTTGTTGTCCTTCTTCTCAAATCCATAGCATAATTTCCAAGGAACAGAACAATAATCCTGCAGAACTACCACAGTGCAGTATGCAATCCAGGGTGGATTTGATTTAAATCAAATCAATTCAAATCACGATATAAAACACTAGTCAGTAGGACTAGATTTAAATCATGGGTTGGTTAGTTTGTGTTTTTACATGATTTGCACATATGGCTGCTTTACTTGTAGGCAGAGGAAAGTCATTAAAATATTCCCAAACAATCTCTTTTACAGCCTGCTGCCATTATAGGTTTTCTCCTTCATGAAAAGAATAATATAATAAACCTCAGGCTATACACAAAAAGATCCAAAGATTTGTGGAGGTTTCAGTTTCATTTTTACTGCTTTTCCCTCCCTCCTTCACACGTGGCTTTTTGAGCAGATCTATTCCACCCTCAACAATCTAATTCTATTCATTGGTGTTTTTTTTAATGTAGCACTGAAGAAGTAAGGGGTTAATTCTGTGTACATAGATTTGCAAAGGAACAATGAGATTAAGGTCTTTTTCTCAACTGGATGTTTATTTTGTAACATTTTTGCTGTGAAGAAGAGGCGCATGATCTCTACAGACAGAAATTCACAGTTTTGAGAACTGTAAAACTAAGAGCTGTGTCTTCTAGATAGAAAAGAAATGCCCTATAATTTTACAGAAGCCTCTTGAAAGAGCATGACATTGTGAATGGATTAATGGAATTCATTTACCAAAAAAATTGCACCCTGGTAGTACCAGATACTCTGAAGGGTACTATGGTTTACAATATTGGACGCCACTAAGAGATAAAAGAGAATTGGTAGGCTACTTACAAATGCTGAACCTGTAAGAAAATGTTGAACTGTATCCTCTTTGCTACTGCACTTGTATTCTCCATGTGCCTCTTTCCCCTTTCTTTCCAGTCTTCTTCCTATATCTTTCCTCTCTCCATTTCCTCTCACCTCTTGTGTCCTTCACCTCTTAACTCAGCACATTTTCTTTTAACCACTTTGAATATGGATTGTACTATGAAGCTTGGTGGATCACCCTTCTCACTTCTGCTTTTACAGAAATGCCTACTTTACCATACAACTGCACGCATATATATCTTCCCTATTTGCACTTTGAAGCAGAGGGCACTTGCCAAATTTGTTGTTGGCTTTTCATTTTACTTCTATAATTCTTTGGATTTACCCAGGCTCATAAGTACCTCCTCCTCCTTCAAAGGTGAAATTATTAGGGCATGAAAGCTATGAAAACATTCTGCCCAAGTTCAGTATTAAAGGAAGTTACTAATAATGCCATTCTAGTTGGTCAATTTGGTATGCATTTTATTTTATTCTGTCAATATTTTATGAAAACAAGGCATTTCTAAACTATGCATTGCTAAAACTGGAGCAATTTTCACAGATTATAGCAGTGGCAAACATTTCACCCCGCATTACTAGCTAATGTAACTCCCTTCTGCAAACCAAGCAGCTTTTCAGTTCACATCTGTAATCCTTATTGCCTTTTTTAACTGTCCGGAAGTCTTAGCTAAACCTAGAAGAGTCGATAAGCATATACACCCAGTAATTAATTTTAAAGGTTGCACATCTGTGTGATTCCAAATTGTCAAAACTCTATTTCTGCAATGTGGTAATGTTTGGGCTGAGATAGATTTTGCAAAGTATTTATGGTTCTTTCAGAAAAACAATATGACTTGTAAAGTTTTAGAAACTGGATTTTCCCCTTATCTGTTGATCCCTTCCAGTCATGTACAGGGAAGCAGAAGGATGGAAACTATGCATGGAAGAATATTATTGTAATTATTATAAGACTACATCTGTTCCAAAGGCTCTGGGTCTATGGACAAACATATAGTTCATTTCTTCCAGTAATGTTGTCAAGACAAATAGGCAGGCAAGCCCATTGTCTTGGTTCCTAGCATCCCTTCCATGCGCAGAAACATATAGAACAGTGCTTTCATGCCTCCTTCAATCTGCAGCTCCAGTTTGTGTGCCCCCCAAAACATGTGCCCCTTTGGGTTGCAGTGCCCTTGGGCATTGTGTGAGACATGGTGCAAGGGATTGCAAATGGAGTAGGGAGTTAGCAAAAATTGTCCCTTCCCTTAAAAAGACTTAGGATCCAAGCTATCCTGGTTAATGTGGTTTAAGTGAATGAATAACAGTATACCAGCCTACACAGAACAAGACCTACTAGTTATTCAGTAACTATCAAAGTGCTAAATATTCTGAAAAGACCTGTTGGATTGGTGGATCTTACATATTGTAACAGTAATGTCAAGTTCTGTTAATATGTTTTCATAAAGGAGATTGATATATTTTATTATTGCTCTTAGTATATTTGTCATTACCTAAGATACTTACTATTGGTATCTTTTTGTAGCCATTTGTTATACATGATATGGATACATTGTGTATGGCAGAGAAGACACTGGTGGCGAAACTGGTAGCCAATGGAATACAGAACAAGGAGGCCGAAGTTCGAATCTTTCACTGCTGCCAGTGTACCTCAGTTGAGGCTGTAACAGAACTTACAGAATTTGCCAAATCTATCCCTGGCTTTTCTAACCTAGATTTGAATGACCAGGTGACCCTATTAAAATATGGGGTTTATGAAGCCATTTTTGCCATGTTGGCCTCTGTGATGAACAAAGATGGGATGCTGGTAGCCTATGGAAACGGTTTTATAACTCGAGAATTCCTCAAAAGTTTAAGGAAGCCATTTTGTGATATCATGGAGCCGAAGTTTGATTTTGCAATGAAATTCAATTCATTGGAGTTGGATGATAGTGACATATCTCTTTTTGTGGCTGCTATAATTTGTTGTGGAGGTAAGATGTAAGTTACTGTTCTCTAAACAGTAATATTCTTCCTGGCCTATTATTTACTTATTACAGATAATGCACTTACTATAGTTTATATCCTCTTTTATACAACATTTAAGACAGTTATTATAGCAATAAAGCAATAGTTTAAGCAAATAATAGTAGATCAACAAAAAGGAGCAGGGTACTTCCCAGTCTCTCCTCTTTCTCTGCCTGTCATCCTGCCCACTTTTTGCAGCCTTGAAAGCAGGTGCTCTGCTTCTTTTTGTGGTGACTGCAAAGAGATGAAAGAAGAGAACAGGTCTCAGAATCCTCCTTTCTTAACATCACAGGAGCATCTACACCCTCAGGAGGGGGAGTCCAAAATAATCTACTGCCACTAGAACCTGAACCCAGGGCAGTAGGATTGCTCTCCACTCTTACATGCACTTTTCCCCCTTTGAGTGTGTGTGTGTAGCATTAGAATATATTACAGCAGTTTTCTGGGAAAATACATTTCCATCTCTAAGGGGTTTGATCGTAGTAGTCAAAAGAGTTTGTGAAAGAAGAGGCACACTTGAGCTGGATTGAGCACAAAATCATTTCAGGTAACCCTAAATATTAGAAGATAACTGAGCACTGAATGGCCTGACCAAGGCCAAAATATGCCATAACTAGATACATGGTTAAAGTGGTAATCCAACTGAAAGTCAGTTTTCTTAAAATTAAAACACAGCATCCATTTACAATGGATGCAAAATACTCAACTGCTGTTTCAACAGGATATTGTAGCATTTTTTATTGATGATGCAGCCTGACTGAATTAGCGAAGAGTATTTCAGTAGGCTCTTAAGCACAGCTAATTAATTGTCATGTACTAAGCATCGTACAATAATGTGACATACAGTTTTGTTTTTGGGAACAGATCGCCCTGGCCTTGTGAACATAGGACATATTGAAAAGATGCAAGAAAGCATTGTGCATGTGCTAAAACTTCACTTGCAAAACAACCATCCTGATGACAACTTCCTTTTCCCAAAACTTCTACAGAAAATGGCAGACCTTCGGCAGCTTGTCACAGAACATGCTCAGCTTGTTCAGATAATCAAAAAGACTGAGTCTGATGCACACTTACATCCTTTGCTACAAGAAATCTACAAGGATATGTATTAAGGTTGTTTTAGTTTTGTATGATATGTAAAGACAACAGCAATATTAATAGATGGGAGCAAACTACTTTGCACAATTATCTCTCATGTGCTTTAATCCGAAAGCATTAACAAAGCTAAAATATAGGTAACTGGAATATCACATTTCTTTTGTCAGGGGTCATTTTTATGTACTTATGAGAAATTTTATAATAAGCCATGGCTGACTTGAATTTTGGCAATAGTAGCAATTTATTACATCTGAACTTACTAACACAAACTACTTCTGAAGTTTCTGCACTTTGAAGCATTCATCCCCTGATCTCCATTATTTGAGAAAACTTAACAGTTTGGGGCAAGATCCGAAGAGCCTTCTTTGGATGGTGAAGAGGACTTTAGCCTTCCATTTCTTCTTGTGCTGCATGGTGAACTGTATTTCAGGTTCAAGGGTTCTAAAAAGAAATTGAAATATGGCATGATGGGAGAAGACACATCTATTAAAGGAAAGAAAAAGGTCATCAATCTCTGAGCATACCCAGTCCTTGAGATGTATCTAAATTAGTTCTTTATATCCTGCCCCTTTTGTATAAAAAAAAGCTTGAACTTTGATACTAGAATTCTATCCATAGAAGAAAAAAAAATATTTGTAAAGCTTTTTTCTTGCCTCAGGTGGCAATCCTAAGCACACATCCTAAGAATTACTTTCTACAGAATTCAGTGAGATGTTTGTAAGATATTGTCTTGGATCATAAGGGCGTTAGCATGCCGGTCGTTTTTTAAAGACGAGTTACTTCATACCCCATGATATATACCAAAGTGCTTATTTCCAAAATCAGTTTTCTGTGGAAAGATATGGTGACTCATACAAGATAAGTACTAACCTAAAAAGTTCACTTTTGTACAGAACTTAAGGTCTGTTGTATCTTTGACATGTGATCTTTGGTAAATTTGGCATTTCTAAAATAGTTCAGAAAGATTGTTTGCAAATTTCATGTCAACCTATTATTGAACATCATACCAAATCAGAGATTATGGTGATGTTTTATAGCACTCACTCAGTATTGTTTCTATACAATATGCATTGAAACAAGGAACAGGTGTTGGAGTAGTGCTTCACTTAACATTTCAATTCAAGCGCCTTGTTTGGTTGCAGCAGTGATAAAATACTGAAGTGCTCAGAGTGCTCTTATAAAATACTGCAGTGCTCTTAAAAAACTGGAAAACAGCCCAGCTCTAGCTGGGATCTTAATTAGTTGCTTATTGGAGGGCAAGATATATCCAAGTCAGATCTTATGCATGTTGCTCCATAAGGTAGCCTTCCTCAAAGCCGTGCCCTATAGATGTGTATGACTACAAATCCATTGCCCTCAGCCAGAATGGCCAATGTCATTTCCTATCAAATGCACGCACTCTTAACTTCACAAATTACAGTTTTCTCTGAGAACCATGTAACACATCACTCTTTTGATGCCTACATATAAAAGGTCTGAAGAATATGTTCAGGAAAACTGTAATATCTGAAGTGGCCGCATGCTAGTTATGTCTCTTTTTTAACCCAATGTACCCTACAAGTATATGGAGATCATTTTGTTTTTAAAGACATGTCCTTGTTTCAAATAATACAGTTCATCCGTGTGCACTGCAACTAGAAACATGTACTTCCTAAAAATGTATCCTTGTCACCTGTGTTCTGTTCAAGTGTCCCATCTGAACCCCAGTTTCAAAGAGGATTGTGATGCTTTATATTGTTTAAAGTTACACCGCAAGCTCTTTCAGATTACACACCCATTTCCTTGACTTTGAAAAACTCCCCAAAGCTGGCTTAGTGAGTGATCTCCATTCAGGCTGTATCTTGCAATATCTTCCAATAAGTTGTATGCATTGTATTTTCAGGGTACTGATTGTGTGTGTGTGGTTTTTTTTTTTTTTTTTAATGAAACACATGATTTGTATTGCAAGAATAAAATAGCTCCCCCTTGTATAATTACATGTTAATTCTTAACCCATTTATGGAGTAACAGTCCCATTCTATCATAAATAAACCTCGTTTATACGGAGCCCCAAACAACATTTTATAGATTAGAAGCTCTTGCATAATTAAAAGTATGTGATTCAGACAAGCTGCATGAAGGTTATAACAGAAATTCTTGGCCCCAATGATTTGGAAGGCAACTTTCCTGGAGAAAGTATTTTTTAAATTAGCAGATGGGAGTAAACAAGTTATTTCACTACTTTATAAGCAACATTTGGTAAACATTGTAATAGAGGTATTGGTTTCTAATTGAACAATCACTGTAATAGCATTTTGCTTTCTCTGTGTACTCTTTCCTGTAGTGGTCCTCCTTGTAAACTAGAACAATCTAAAAGCATATGGAATACAAGTTGTTGGATGCCCCTGTATTCTATTTTCATATCATCCCAGTGAAGTTATATAATATTTGCAATAATTCCAAGTGTGGAGAGAAAAATGTGAACAGCTGGCAGAAGCTTCAGTTTTGTTCGTCAATTTCCCTAAAAGCATTGTCTACAAGTGCCCTAGAAAGCAGCTTATACTATTATTCAGAATACTCAGGATTGGGGCAATAACTCAATAATTTAATGTTGGGGGACATTTTAATTGTTCTCCAAAAATGAAATTATCTACCTCAACAAATTATGCAAAAGAAAGCTGTAAATTTGATTGCTCAAAAAATGTATAATCTGTTTATTGAAAAGCTCAGGATAGCAAGTCCAAATGAACAGAAACAATTTTTAAGTAGCTTCTCATCATGTAAATTGAGTTTAAACATACTCTTTCCTGAGTATATTCCTACTTATTTTGCATGCTCAAATCCATATTGCATTTTTACTGCCTGTTTGGTTTTTGACACTTTGGAACTATAGATATCTCATAACCTTTGACTGTTTACTATAACTTCTATATAATGTGAATAATGTGAAGAGGGATTTCCTGTACTGCAGAACTCATGGGTGCAGTGTATGCTTGCTCATTCTGCTGTGCTGGGGTTGCTTCCTTCCCAAATGTTTTGCTTACTGGAGAATAAGTGGGACAAGTGGGAGGGAAAGAGGCTTAATTAAGACCTGGTTTGCATGATATGCCATCTCACAGTGGGTGGTTTGTTGTGAACTCATTGTCCTGCCTTAAAATTTATGTATCTTTACTGATTCCCCTCACTGCTTGTCTGCCTTGAAATGCACATATCTTTTACCAATCATGCCCCTTTCTATGGTGTGTAACCCACATGTAGATCAGACAGCTAACAATGGAAACCAGTGGAGGGAAGCAACAAATACAGAGTAGGGGAGGTAGCCAAAAGTGCTTGGTGGCCACAGGAGAAGAAACTTGAAGCAGACTTCTTTTAAGGTAATTGCTAGCACAGCAAGCATAGAAGTAGAGAGATTGATGTGCTAAGCTGAACAGCAAACAGGTAGTTTTGCACAATTTTTTAAAGTCAGCAAATGTATGACCAGGTTCATGAAGGATCAGATAATTAACTCCATTCGGTGTTGGCAATGTGATGTGGGGGGAGGTTCAGCCGGCAGTCCCAGCGGGCCAATTGCAGAAAGGGCTCTGAAATAGGGGCCAAGGAAACTACAAGTTTCCAGCATGGGAACTAAGATGGAACCAAACTATGGAAAGACACAGAGCATCCAATCATCTGTTAGGTTAGCAAGCAAGCAAGCAAGCAATTTACCCAGGGTGGCTTAATCTCTGGATGGTTTAGTGTGATGAGTAGATACTCTCTACAGTTTTTATTCTGTCCTGTGTGACTCTATAAAGCTTAACATTTTGCACACTACAACAAAATTTGTTCTGCCAGTGAAGTGGCTAATGCCCATTTCCTAAACTCTGTCATGGGACAGCATTCTTTAACGTAATGCCTAACGGCCATCCTGGCCAGAGATGATAGAAGTTGTAGTTCAGCTTATTTGGCATATACAGTGGTACCTCGGTTCACGAACGCCTCAGTTCATGACCAAATCGGGTCGCAAACAAAAATTTCATAAAAATTTTGAATTTTAGGTGCCAACCGTGATCACGGCCCTCTCCCCACACCCCACCCCTGAGTGAGGAGATGGCCACAATTGCAGTCGCGCTCATGCAGGGAAGACAGGTGCAATTGCGGTTGTGCTCGGGGAGCAGGGGAGATGGCTGAGATTGTGCTCATCTTTCCTGCAAGAGCGCAACTGCAATCTCGGCCATCTCCCCCCACCAGCACAATCACACCCGTCTCCCCCCAGCATGCCCAAGATCATGCCCGCCTCCCCCCTGAGCGTGCCCATGGTTGTGCTGGGGGGTGGGGAAATGGCTGCACTCATGCTTGAGATGGGGGAGGTGATGGTTGTGATCTTTGTTGTTCTTTGCCACTTTGTTTCAAATTTTTCTGATTAAAAAAAAAATAGTTACAGAACGGATTAACCTAATTTACATTGAACCTTATGGGGAAATTTGACTTGGTTCGCGACCAATTTGGGTCACAACCAGTGTCCTGGAACGGATTAAGTTCGTGAGCCAAGGTACCACTGTATTGATTGGGGAAGTGTGCTGTAGGTTATCTCATCTACTTTCAAATCCTGCATCTGCAGCCATAGATGTTTTCAGCCATAGGAGATTCCCTGGAGATTGAGGTAATATATGTGGTAAACTTCTATCCTTGTTCCCTCCCCACACCAAACCCAGGTAAATATTCTGCAGAGTAAAAAGATTTCAACAGCCCCCTACAGGCTACTTTCTAACAAAAGAAGAGCCTCAAGTAGCCTGTTACCATATTTAGTAACTTTTAATATGCCGACATGCTTTCCATGGAAATGCAAATGCTAGAAATGCAAACTTTATGGAACTATGACCCAGTAACCAGGCTTTTTGGAGTCATATATGCACCTAACATTTCCTTGTTCTTTTCTTGGATTTCTTCTTCGCAACACCTAGCACTCTGGATAGAAATCGTATAATTCCGAAGAGGAAGAGGGCAAGTTCTTGTCATACTCAAACTGAGCCTCAGAATTGTCAACTTTAATTTCAATGGGATAACAAGTCACTGAAAATTTAGCCCATTCCAATTTGTGTTGTCTTGCTGCTTCAATCTGCATAGCATTCTTTGGTTCATTTCTTGGTATTTCTCTGTGACATTGAAATGGCTTTAAAAAAATGTATATATACATCCTATGTTATGGAATGGCTCAAAAATCTATCATGTCATGCTGCTATTATTTGATTATACATAAGAGGTTTTTAGCCATTTCATGTAAGTATTACCAGGAACAAACTTATATAAAATGAGTGTAACTTTTTTAAAAAAACACTGAGTTAACCTGGTATGTTTACAACTGAGCAAAATGAGATATTCAAATATTTTCAGTAATATGGACACATTTGCAGATGTAAAATGTTATGCGAAATCAGAATTGTATTTTATAGTTATTGTGGGCTTGTTCTTTATTATAACCACACAAGCCATTAATGTGCTCTGCTGGTACTCCAGTTAGTAAGAGTATTCTTATATAACTGTTTACCATTGTAATGAACCTAGTGTCTTTTTTTCACTATAAGGATTTGATCTAAGTTGCAATAAGCATTTGACCTACC